ATGGGGGCCTTCCTTCCCTGGGCTGGGCCAGGCGGGCCGCCGAGAGTGCTGACCCCGTGCATGAGTCCGTCAGCCCTCGGGGCTGCTTACGGCCTGGGTCCTGGCCAGGAGGCACGTGTGCCAACAGTCTTCTCTCCCTCCTTCCTTCTCTCAGCTAAAAGCGTTCAAAGATGAGGAGAAGACAAAAGAAGCCCTCAAACAGCAGAAGAGGAAAGCAAAGGTGAGGAGGTTTGAGGGAGGAAGCAGCACTTACCTCATCTTCCCTTATTCAGGGAGCTACAGTCTGAGGGGAGGGGCAGTGTCTGCTTAGCTGTCCAGCTAATTCAGGAGGTAATGCAAGTCGAGCACTTCAAACAGTACTTGGTACAGAGGAGGTGCTCGGGACACATGAGCTGTCATCGGTGGATATTCTGTGCCCCTATACCGGCCACCTGTGCCCCTGTACCGGCCACCTGTGCCCATCGACCAGCCACCTGTGCCCCTGTACCGGCCGCCTGTGCCCATCTACCAGCCTTCAGAGAACTAAGATACCAAGTACAGAAAGGGAGAGGAGACGGGTGTTACTGGGGATGGCCTGTCAGAGGCTAGAGCCCGATGTCAACACTTCTTGCAGGCCTCGGCGGAGCGCTACCACCTGGAGCCCCACCCAGAGCATCTGTGCGGGGCCTACCCCTATGCCTACACGCCCATGCCAGCCATGGTACCACACCACGGCTTTGAGGACTGGTCCCAGATCCGCTACCCTCCGCCCCCCATGGCCATGGAGCACCCACCCCCACTCCCAAACTCACGCCTCTTCCATCTGGTGAGTCTGCGTCCCCCCTTCAGAACGCACAGCGAGGCCAGCCCACGCACTCTGCAGAGGGCGAGGTCGAGTGAGGGGGTCTGAGACCGCATCCTTGGCTCTTGGCTGAACAGCACTGTGGTGCGCAGGCAGATATCCAGAGCCAGGCAGGACCGTCCGGCCCAAAGCCGCTCAGGGTCTCGGGTATAGGACAGGAAGGGCTCAGAGGGAGGGCAGGAAGGACGGCTCCCTCCAAGCCAGCAGGCCGCGGGGAGCAGAGTTTGGGTTTGACTTTTCCTTAGAACTTGCACTTGTAACCAGGCCCCAGGCCCTCACCATGCAGCCCCCCTTTGCTTTCCTTCTCTTTTCCCCTTTCCCAGTTTCCCTTGCATTCCTGTCCCCTCCCCTGCCTCCTTTCTTTCCTTTTATTTGCTTCTCATTCTTTCTCCAAAGAGCTCCTGCCCCCTGTCCCCTCCTCTCCATCTGCTTTGGTATCCCTGCTCCCACCTGGACAGTGGCAGTGCCTCCTGCCTGGCCTCTCTTGCAGCTTCTTCTGCTCTGCCTGGTCCTTACACACATCCGCTTGGCGATCTACACTGGAGTGGAGTGCGGGGCTTAGGAGAAGGGCTCTGGGGTTATAGAGACCTAGAACCAGAGCTTGGCTACCTTCTTAGCTAGATGACCTTCAGCAAGTTTCTTAACCCCTCTGAGCCTCAGTGTCCTTACCTGTAAAATGGGGATGGCCCCCTGGGTTGTTGTCAGGATTCAGTCGTACTGGATTAGCACGTGTTCAGTGCTGTGCTGGTGTGGTGGCCGCTGCTGTCACTTTTGAGTGTGGTTATTGACTACTAAGCACCACTTTTGTTGCAGCCAGAATACACCTGGCGGCCGCCCTGTGGAGCCATGCGCAATCAGAGCTCCCAAGTGATGGACTCGCCCACAGCCAGGCCTGTGGAACCAGGTGAGCGCGGTCTAGTCCTGTGTCTTGCGTTCCCCTTGGGGAGATACTCTTACCTGCCAGGAACGCCCCAGTCTGGGGATGATGTCACCACCTTCTGCTCTTGGTGGAAGAGAGACCTTACGTTCCACAACAGTGTTGAGAGGATGGGGAGGTGACTGCGGAGGGAGGGGGTTGAAGTCATTCATTCATTTATCTTGAGTGTGGTGTCCAAATGCCAGGTGCTCTGCTGGGTGCCAGGGAAGCCACGTGAGTACAAACAGATAATGGTTCCTGCCCTTGCGGAGCTTACTGCCTAGTGAGGGAGGAAGAAATGAATAAAATGCACACACAAAGTCACACAGATGGGCCTTTGATTGCACTTAGGTGCCCTGAAGGAAGGAGAGAGGTTTCTATGAGAGCAGATAGCAGGGTGGCCTGACCTGGGCCCGGGGGCAGCGATGTCGGAGTCGGGACCCTCAGAGCGCGTGGCATTAACCAGGCAAAGGGGGAACAATGGAGGATGTTCTTGCAGAGAAATGACAAATACAAAGGCCCTGGTGGGAGGGAGGGGAGAAGGGAAGCCAACTGGAGGATGGAGAGAAGGCCAGAGAAGACTGGAGAAGCCGAGGACAAGGTGGGGAAGGAGAGCTGGGCGAGGCAAGGTCAGGAAGGTAGGTGAGTCCAGGCTGAACGGGAACCTGCAGATGATGGACAGGGGGGCTGGTCTTTATCCTAGCGATGATGTGCCCCCCTTGGACATGTTTAAAGCAGAGTGGCATGAGAGATCAGATCTGCACTTTGAAAAGCTCCATCCGGTCATGGTGCCGACCAGCAGCAGCTGAGGACCAGAGGTTGGTTCACAGGTCACAGGAGGACTCCAGGGCCCCAATGACTGCCTTTGCTTTCCGTGGGGCTCTGCGGGGCCGAAGGCACTCCCTTGCCTCCTGGCAGGGAGCAGGGGAGCCGAGTCCTTCTCAGCACAAACAGGTGTTTTCCATGGGTTATGGCTTTGCCGAGCCAGAGCCGGCTCTGCCGGGAGGGAGAGGGCCCCTCACAGGAGGTATGCAAGCAGGGGCTGCAGGATGACCTGGAGGCACTGCGGTTGGGAGGAGGCATCGGGCTGGTCAGCTGTTTTCTCATGGTTCCTGGCAGAGCCCTAGAGGTTGTGTGGAGCCCCTGAGATGCTGCTGGGATGAGGGGCGAATGGGCAGGGCTGTCCCCACCCCGAGAACTGCTCCACCTCTGGGATCTGGAGCCAGACGGGCTAAGCTCAAACACTTCCTAAATCTGGAACTTTAGGCAAATTCTTAAAAATCTCTCTGTGCCCTTAGTCCCTCTTCCATAAAGGGAAAATAATCTGCCTGCTTCAGAGGGCAGGGCAAGGATTGAATGACAGATGTACCTAAGGTCCTAGCCCAGGGCCTGGCACTCAGCAGCACTCAACTCTGTGATTTCCATTGTTACTTGCTGGTTTCCGTAGGCCTTTGAAACCTCCTGTACCCCATCATTTTTAAAGTCTTCAATGTTTTTCTTTATTTTAGAGTCTACGAAAAATGACCGTGAGGGGCCTCAGTGAGACCAGATTATGTCACTTGGCTCCACCTTCGTTTTACAGAGCCACCTGATCTCAGACTGCTGAAAAACTAGAGGCCATGTTCTCTGTGTGGCCAGAGCCTTGGCTGGATGGGAGACTGATGGGCCACTGGGTTGTGCCCCAGCCCGAAGTAAACTGTTTCCAGACTGGAGAGGCACCACCCGGAAGGCTTCCATTTGGCCTCTCCTTTGGGGTGACCGGGAGAAACTCACTACCTTGCAACCAGGTGGCGAGAGGCCTCATCCGACTTTGACCTGCCATGCTTTGTGGAATCACTGGGGAACCTCAGTCTCAAGAGTGGGGTGCAGTGGAGACCCCTTCCTTTCGAAACTTCCCCGGAAGTGGTTCCAGCCCCTCTGTGGAACATGTCCCATTCATGTGTGTAAGTTTTGCTTGAAGCTCTGTAGTAGCTGGACCCGCCCCGTGCCCAAGCCTTCCCCTCTGAGGAGCTGCGGGAAGAGCGGGTTTGCTCCCAGAAGCAGGAGAGAATGACAGGCGTCCTGTTGCAGGGCCACTTCCACCCACGGCAGCCTTGCCAGCGCCATGGCAGCCTGGGATGAAGGCCCCGCCAGCCACATGTGCTGAGGGGCCCACCGTGAAGCTGGAGGCTTGGGGTGCCAGAGGCCCAGATCAAGGTGGCTGGCTGACCCTGGGCAGCTGTTTGCACGAATCTTGGACATAAATCCAAGTTGAAGATCAGTGTTCTGTGATTTGTGTTCTTTTATGCCCTGGCTAGCGTCCCCCTCCCCGTCAATGAGAGTGCTGCTTTCTGGGCCCATTCCCCCTAGTCCCGAGAGCATCACCGGGGCTCTTGGCAGATAGCCCCAGGGCTCTGCTCTGAGCCTCTCCAAAGGTGAGGCACCCAGGGGCAGTGGAAGGAGTCTGGGCTGAGAGTCAGGTGACCTGGGTTTAAATTCCAGTCCTGCCCCTCACAGGTCAGGGGGCAGTGGGCAAGGCCGGCCCTTTGGTGAGGCTGTTTCCTCACCTGTCACATGGACTACCTCGTCTCAGCCCCAGCTGCCTGGAGAATTGTGGGAGGGAGTGAGTGTGGATGGGAACTGGTTTTGTAAAGTCCAAATGCCAAGTTAGAGAAGCAGAGTGGGTCTAGGTAGAAACCAAACAGCAGGGGCCCAAAGCACTCCCTCCACCTCTTTCTTCTTCCTCCAACTCCCCCCCCACCCCACCCCACCATCCAACCCAGCGAGGGTGGCCCCATGGAGGAAGCACCACAGTAGGCTCAGCTGTTGCAGAAAGGCCTTTACTGGGCAGACCGGGGGCGGGGGGTTGGGGGGAGTCTAATGCCAGGGACCAGGGTGAGGGGGAGAGGGCACATCCTCCAGAAAAGCAGGGGGTGGCATCCCTGCCCAGGGGCCTCAGCCTGAATGCACTAAGGGCTGGCCCTTCAGACAGGCTCAGGGGAGGTCCGCCCATAAGGGCTTCGGGCCCCTCCTTCATGGAGATGCCATTCCTGACACGGGGAACGTGGCCCTTGCTCTCACATCTGCCTTGGCTGCTCTCAGGGAGCACTATGGGGTGGGGTAGGGGGCTTGGGAGGGCCCTTCAGGAAGGAGAGGGGCTGCATGGTGGAGAGTAGGGAGACTGGGCAGTGTGATGACCCAGAAACTTCTGGGCCCTTCAGTGGTGATACTTGGGAGGCGATGGGAGATGCTGGCCCCAAAGCTGAGGTCTAGGTCAGAACAGAACAGTTGGATCTAGAGCTGGTTTTACCGTGGGCTCAGTTGAAAGTGAATGGTTAGGGTCAGAATTGGAGGAAGGGGAGGGATTTTCTCGCACTCTGTAGCGCACAGCTGTGTGTACGCACATGGTACGCATTCCCCGTTTTCACGCAGGTAGACACAGGTGGCTGTTCACTCATGCATACACGTGGTCACACACACCTGTAGGCATGTGTGCAGACACCCACGTGCATAACAGTACAGACGCAATCGTACGCACATGCTCGTGTCAGGCTGGGGCCTTGTGTAATAGCGAGGGGTCTATGGTGGGAGTGTGGTGTGGTTGGAGAAATGGATTCCTTCCCGAACGGAGTCCCTCCCCAGCCCCTGCACGGTGGACACGGGGTGGGGCAGGTCTGATTTACTTCCCCTGGACCGCCAGAGCCGCCTGCCGCCTCATGTAGGCCAGGATGTCCATCTTGACGGTGTTGACCGTGGTCCTGTGGTACCAGCGCATGATGGGTACACCATCTGGCCCCACCAGGAACTTCTCAAAGTTCCAGCGGATGTCATGGACCTTCATGGGCTCCCAGAAGAGGCGGTCAGGTGAGCCCAGGAGCTCTGAGGTGGGAGGGCAGGAGTTCTGCAGCAGGGATGAGAGCGTCAGCCCTGCCTGGGGCCCTTCCCAGCCTCCCTGTCCAGGCCTTCCGGGGTGGAGGTGGGAGAAGCCTGGCACTGAGCAAAGAGCACCAGTTTTTGAGTTGAAAATGGAATCCCAGGACTGGCTTTGGCTCTAGCAGGTTGTCCCTTCTGGGGCCCTGCTTGGGCCTTATCTATAAAATGGGCTGTTGAGATCCTAGGGTCTGCCAAGCCTTATGGTTGGAATGATAGATGCCAGGAAATCCCCCCAGGGGCCCAGAAGAGGGGGCGGGTGGCACGGGCCCTGTCTCCGCATGGGCTGGAGCCAGGAGTGACTGCAGCTCTGTCCAGAACCAGGGTCAGCCGGGCTGAGCGACTCCCACAGGGGTGGCTGTGCACTCACCTTCAGGAACGTGTAGAACTTCTGCTCTTTTTCCCCGTTCACATCGCCTTTCTCAAAGAGTTGGAAATTGGGGACGAAGCCCCCACCCGGTCGGACATACCTACAAGGAATGTTCTTATGTGGATCCCAAGAAGATGGGGCCTAGGGCTCAGAGATGACAAGAAGGGACTGAACGGGGAGGGGGCGTTGGGAATCTGGATTTTATTCCTCACCAGGCAGTGGGAGCTGATGAGTACTGAATGGGCATAGGCACGGTGTGGGTGTGCAAGCTGCTTTTTCTGATTTGGTGCCTTCTCAGTAGCCCTGTCCCCTGCGTGCACTCTCCCCACCACCCCCCCCCCCGCCATCCCATCATGCATGCACACACAGTCATCCCTGTGTCCGACCCCTCTTCTGTTCACGCCAGTGACCGGGGTTCCTGGAAGAGGAGTGTAGTTCTTGGTGGCTAAGTACCCATCATGAGTAGGGTCCAATGCAAGAGAGGCCTGGCACCTCGGCTGGGGCACAGGGGGGCTGTGCTTTCTCAGGGGAACTTTCTCAGGACACCAAGCAAGCAAGCACTCACTTGAGGCTGGGTAGGATTTCCGAGTTCTCTCCTGGCTCCTGTTTTCCGAATTGGTTGCAGGGGAAGCCCAGAATGACCAGGCCAAATGGTTCAAGCTCCTCCTGTAGTGCATTCAGTTCTGGGCCAGGGAGACGGAGAGCAGAGATGAAGGTAGACTATCAAGGACCCCTGCCTCATCTACACAACTCTACCTGCTCACCCACTGTGAGCTCAAATCACCGAGGCCTGACAGGGGAAGGGCCTTGCCCAAGATTGCCCAGGGAGTGTGACAATGCTGGGATACAAGCCCCATTCTCCCGACCAATCTGGTTGGGTTGGAGGTCTGGGGAGGAAAGAGCAGTGCCCTTTCTCAAATCAGTAGTCAGTCAGCTGCCCACTGCCACTGGGCCAGGAGGCTGAGGGCTCCTTCAGGACTCTCAAGATTGAGTTTCTTAGAGCAAGAGCCATACATCCCTGGGCAGAAGGCAGAGGACTTCCTGGCAGTTTGGGAATCGAAGGGAGGCCCTGGCCCAGCTCCCCAGTTCCCTCAGTGCCAGCACCCAGCCCATCTCTTGCACAAACACGCTCTGCTCTCTTCCAAGGGCTGGACAGAAGCATTCTAGACAAGAGTACCCAGTGCCCACTGGGCCATCCAGCCCACCATCATTCCACTTCCAGGAGTTTGCCTGAGACGGCCGGGCAGACATTCAGGGTCAGGTTGCCCTTGCTTCCCCCCAACCCTGCTAGCGGACTGTGCTCGGCCCCACGACATTTTCCTGTGGGTGCGGTCAGATGCCTCTGGCCTGCCTGTTCCCTCTGGCTGTGTCCTCTGCCCCGGTTCAGCAGAGGGGAGTGAGGATACCAGGATCATGAAACCTGGGTGAAAGACCTGGGATTGCCACTGACGCACGTACTTGGGGCCTCGGTCTAACTGCCTGGTTTCCACATGGGGGCCAACAGAAGCACTAGGGCAGATGGGGCTCAGGGCAGATGGGAAATTCTCAGCAGGATAAAGCTACCATCTCTTACTCCACTGGAAGACCATTCCAGGCACAGACCCAATCTCCTCCATCCCTCTGCTTTCAGGGCAGTTGGGGTGCCCAGGGATGAAGGGTCACTGGGAATGTTCTAGAACATAATCTGAAGGCAATCAGACCTCAGGCTTATATAGTCATCTTCACAGAAATATGGAAGACAATAGAATTGGGATACAGGGCTTGGAATCTCATGATCACGGTCACCCCTTCCCACTTGCACCAAAAAAGCTCCTGTGATTAAAATGTGCCCAACTGGCAGAAACAGCCCCACAGCAGAGGAGCGGGGCTGGGCTCTTACCAATGTACTGGCCTGTCAGGCCTCAGTAGCTGGCCACGTTGACAAAGAGGATGTATTTGCCAGCGTACTGCTTGAAGGGGATGTACTCCTGCCCATTGATGGTGAGGGCTCCGTACTCATAGATGGTGCCGCTCACGTCAGCATGGCAGTCCGTCTGGAACAGAGGAAGACCAGAAACAGGGAGCGGTGAGAGTCGGAAGGGAACCTGGGCATCTCCATTTTCAAGATCATGAAAGATACCAACAGGGAGAGTGACTTGCCCAAGACCACTCCGAGAACTGGAACTGGACCAGAACCGAGGTCTACTTCCTTGTGCAAGGGAGTGCTTATGAAAGCACTTAATCAGCTGATGAGTGTGTGGAACCCTGCCGTACTGCTTATTGTGACCATTACTTCGCCTCCCGTGCTCACATGTAAACATTTGCCAGGCCCGGACAGAGACCGTGCCGGGACAGGTGGTTGCCTTATGGGAGGCGCTGCTGGAGGCTCCTGGGGCGGCCACTGCAACCAGCCAGGCAGGTGACAATGTGGGCCTGAACGACCGCATTGTGAAGGAGGAGCTGAACAGAAAGGAGGAAGGGGCCGTGTGGAGAGGGGTGATTCAGATCTGGAGGACTGGAAAGCTGAGGCTGTTGCTAAAATATAGGGAAGTAGGAGGAGCCAGGAAGGGGAGAGGCCTGCCAGAAGGATTTGGTGTGCTGGGAAGGAGAAAGCAACAGGGCCTCGCCCATGGGAGATGTTCTCTGTAAGCGTGCAGCTGGGATGGCCGGTATGTCTTCCTCTGTGCCCGGCTGCTGCGCCCCAGTCAAATCCAGAACAAGTATCGGACAATGGACTCAGGTGGGAGACGTGGATTCCACGTCCAGCTCTCCACTAACTCCCTGTGCGGTCTGGGGCTAGCCCTTTCTCTTCTCTGGGCCTCAGTTTCCTCTTTTTCCAAGATGAGAACCTTGAGCTGGATCAGCTATGCTCAACCATGATGGCTTGCCAGCGTCACCGGCAGCGGGGGAGGAATGGGACCACCGCCAACCAGCAGGGCATTGCATCCCACTCCACTCGACACCCACCCCAGCTCTGGTACAGGCCACGAAAACCTGGCTCTACTCTTGAAAGGGTGTCTTGGCAGCCATCACACAGTCAGTAGCGGCGCTGGTCATGATGGGAAAGGAAGATGATGGCCAGCATTGTATCAGGTCACCTCTAGCCGTGATGGAAGAGGAGAGAGGTGCCAAGACAATAAGCAAATGAAGTGCAAACTAGCATTATAGATCAGGAGAGACAGAGACAGGTGGTGGGAGTTAGAGAAGCAAATCCACACCCTCTCCTCCCCATCAGTCCTGGAGGCTTGCTGTTGAGGTGAGGTACCTGGGCCCGACAGGGTGAAGAGAGTCATCTGGCTGGCAGGGTGTGGCCCCAGGAGGGTGCAGAAAAGCCATCTCAGTCTGGGAAATGTCGTAGGCCTGCTGAGCCAGGCAAGGTAGGGCTCCCTCCAACAAGCCATTCCCAGAGAGCTGCAAGCTCTCTTCTTGGCTTCGGTGCCAACTGCCTGTTTTCTGTGAGACTGGCATTCCATGCCCCGTGACTTCTGGTGGGTGCTGGAGGCAGGTCCAAACCCTAATTCCTCTAGCCCCTGTGCCTCCCTGGCCCCAGCTGGGTCAGTTCCCCCACAGAATACAACCAGAGCCCAACAAACCCAGCCCTGTTGGCCGCAGAGGTCCAGCAGCCGGAGGGCAAGGCCTCCCGGCTCACCCCTCCACCCTGATCCAAAGACAAATTCTGGGAAATGAAGAGAACAAAAGCCAAGAGGTTGTCGAAATAACAGAAGCTTGTAAACAACAGGACGACCCACTTCTGGGCACAGCTTCGGGATGGGGGTGGGGCGAGGGGACTCTCCTCTCACTAGGCTTTTTAGTCTTTGCTGGCTCTGTGGCCCTGGCGAGTGAGTCACTTTTACTCTCTGAGCCTCAGTGGGCTGACAGGTGAGGATAATGCCACCTGCCTCCCCAAATGGCTGTAAGAATCTATGTGCAAATCAAAACGGTCTTGAAACCCTCTTGGAGAGAAATCCCCACATCAGGAGATAGTGATTATTCTTCCTACAGCTAGAGGGAAAAGCCCTGAGGTTCCTCCGTTATTGTGAAGAAGCTTTGGTGGTCCCCAGTCAGTGTAGAGAAGATGATGCTACGAGGTGTCTCCAGGAGAAGGGATAAGGGCAGAGCCTCGAAGCTGTCTACCGGGGCCACTGAGGCCAGGGTTGTGGGTTCAGACGGAGGGGGTTCAGAGGGTGGCCCATGGTGGTGGAAGCCATGGCCTAGATCAGGACTGAGCCTTAGGTGAGCTGTGGGCCCCCTTCCCTCCTCTGGGGCCCATGAACACCAGAGACCCTGCACCTTAAACAGGGAGGCCAGAAGAGGCAGCAGGGGGTGGGCAGTGCAGGTGCCCCAGTCCTGCCATGGCTGGGCAATATGGCAGAGTGCTGCTGGCTTGGGAGTTGAAGGGGGTCTCAGCCAGAACCCTGGCTGGCTTGGACTTCTGCTGTTGGACCTTTCTCCTCTCCCATCTACCACTGCCATAAGTGTGGGGTGGTGAAAGGAGCCTGGGCCTGGGGGCGGGAGACCTGAGTTCTGGGCCTGGCCAGAACTCTGACTCTGTGTGATGACTCCTTTCCCTTCTGTGGGGCTCTGGCTGCTCGCCTGTCAGATGGGCTCAGAGTCAGTGTTGTCTTAAGGGCTCTTCAGCTCTGTCAGCCTGCGGTTCCATGATTCTCTCTGCCTCGTTTAGTCACCTAGAAACCAGCGGTTACTAGGATCCCGTGCACGTCAGCTGTTGTTACCCTCTCCAGCTTCTGCAGAGTCTTTCTGCACAGCAAGAACAGGGAGTCTGGGTAGCTTGAAGCTGGACTGCAGAGGGGACACAGCAAGGGAAGAGGATTTCCTTCATTATCCGGCTCCTCCCTTTGAGCTGGGAGGAGGCAGACATCCCTCCAAGACTGTCCCCTCTTGCCCATCCCATTCCTCATGTGCCCCACCAACCTACCCTTGGCGCTGGGAGTCGGAGATAAGGTAGGTGGTTGAGTCTTAGAATCCGGAGCTATGACATTTCGACTCTAAGGGCCTGAGAGCAGAGATGGACATGCCCAGACTGTCGTTAATCAGCAAGTCCTAACCGGCTGCGTCTGATAGAAGCATACCTCACCCTAAGACTTTTCTAGACCATACCCATCCTGTTCTCTTTGATCTCTTTGAATCCACCTATTCCTCCCCCAGAGTCCTGCAAAGAAACCACAGCTGTGATGACTTATTCATGGGGTCCACATTCTTCCCTCCAGCCTTCTCGAGTCAGGGCCCAATCTTCTATGGCTTTCCCCAAACTGAGAGTCAAGGGCTGACTCCATGGTGCTGGCCTGCCTTCCCCTACCTCTACCCCACATCACAATCTTGAAACTCAGTCCCATCCCTAACCTGGAAAATGCCTTTTGAGCTGGGGATAATGAACGGGGCTGGATACAAAGGGGAAGGGCGGGGGGGCGAAATGCCTTCATAGCCATCCAGTTTCTAGGATTACTCCAAAGAGAAACAGACTGAATAGGATTTAGCTGAGGACAGGAGAGGATGGCGGGATAGAAACATGCAGAAGGAACCCTGTGTGTGGAATGGGCTAATTGAACAGTAGATAGAACCTTGGAAATAGAATTATGGACTCTTAAGATCTTAAAATAAAGACCCAGAAGATTTTAGAAAGACAGAAGCTCAAAGCTTCTCTTGAGCTTACACAAGCATGTGGGGTGTGTGTGTGTGTGTTGGGAGGGTGGAGACAAATCTTTCTCTTTGGGTCTATACCGAAGCCTGGCTTCTGCCTCCCACCCTGGGGGAGAAGAGCGGTCTGCTGGGCCCACTTCTACAGGTGCTATCCTAGGAGATAAGTATGCTGGGTCACCCCACTCTTGCCTTCAGCATCCCCACTCTAGCTAAGGGTCACACATGCTGCTGGGGATAGATGAAGGCTCAGGAAAATTCTGCCTTTCCTATTGAGCTGGCAGTCCCCAACTTTCTCCAACTACCAGGTTTGCTCAGGCTGCTGTGGGCAGCGGGTGGTGGGTAGTAAGGCTGCCGCAGACAGACCTTCACAGAGCACCGTGTGGATTTTGCAGCTTCTCCAAGCATTCGCTCTGAAACCATCAGCTTCATTGTGCCCCTGCCCCACCCTCCCCACTCCACCCCGCCCCCCACAGATGGACAAAAGGAGGCCAGAAAGGATTGAGGGTCTAGCCAGGGTCCTGGGGGTTGTGCACTGCCAATCCAGAGTGCTTCTTGTCACAGATCTCTGCCTCTTCTACCAACGCCCTGGAACCCGAGTGGGCACATCTACCTGCGTTAATGCCTGGGCTAGAAGAGCCCTCGTCACAATTCTTCCAGTCGGGGACCACCCAGCTCCTTCCCTTTCTCCTTGCCTGTCAGTCTCCCCGGGGAACCTCCGCAGCCAACGGCGAGTCTCTAGCCTTTTTCTGTTCCCCCGCCCCCTTCAGGCCCTCCTGGAGGGGAGTAGCTGGGGACAGTCTTGGCATGCACGTAGCAAGGCGACACTGAGGTAACCGTGGGGCAGGCTGGGTCAACTCGGCGAGAGTGACCCTCCTCCCTATTCATTCTGCCCACCCAGGGCACCCAGATCTCCCACAGATGAAACTGCGAAGACACGGGCGCGCAGGGTGGGGGTCCCGGAGGCGGAGAGGGAGGAACCAGAGTTAAGGGTCAGCGCACCAGGTGTTGGCTCTCCTGGAGGGGAGTCCGGGAAGAGAGGTGCCTCGCCACCGACAGATGAACACCTACGGGCTCTGTTCGTCCCGCCGGGCCCCCACCCCCGAGGCTCACTCACCTTCGACTTCTCCTGCCCCCGGCCCGGCGGGACGAAGCCAGCCAGGAGCAGGGAGAGAAGGCAGGACGCCCGCAACAGCCGGGCCATGGCGGGCAGAGGGCGCGTCTCGCCAGAGACGCGGTCTGCTCCCGGGCCAGCGCCGTCTGAGGTGTCCGATGCTCTCAGCCACCTTTCAAGCCCTCAGCGATGACCAATCCGCGGCCGGGCCGGAGCCCCTGCAGCCAATCGCAGGGCGGCTGGCATTTCAGAGGCGGGCACAACTTACCCTCCTTCTCCTCCCTGGGCTCCGGGCGACAGTGACATAAGCAAGTCTGGGCAGAAATGGGAGCAGGTCCTTGTCAACCCATGAGGCTGCCCCCTCTTCTTTGGGCTCTAAAGTGCAAGAGGAGGCAGGCACAATGTTCTCCAGCACAGTCAGGGGACAGGGCTTTAAAATATCACTGAAGAACTGATGGCAGGCTCAATCCTAGGAAACATTTCTTACTCCTAGGTTTTTAAAACACCGCGTGGTGCTCCCTCTTTCCTCCTTCCTCCATTCCAGTTGAAGGAATGTTGAGGATTAAAAATGACAGCAAGATCTGAAGTGAGACTGCTAGGAACATTTGCTCCACGCAGGTTTAGCAAGTAAGAGGCAAAGAGTGGAGGCACCTGGGTGACTCAGTCGTTGAGCATGGGACTCTTGTTTTGGGCTGAGGTGACGATCTACCATAGTGGGAGGAAGCCCCGCATCAGGCTCCGTGCTTGGGGAGGAGTATGCTTTGGATTCTCACTCTCTCCGTCTGCTGCTCCCCCTGTGCGCGAGCTCTCTCTCTCTAAAATAAATATATATATATATATTTTTTAAAGCTGTGAAGAGTGGATGCCACAGATTTTGAATGCAGCCCCCTCCTGGAAAGAACACTGGGATACCTCAGCCGATTTGGGGGCAGAAAATACATTTGCTCACTGTGTAGTCTTGAATATGTTGCTTTCCCCCTCTGGGCCTTGGTTTCCCCAACTGTGTAATGATGGGATTAGCTGATGACCTCCTGATGCCCTTCTGGTTCTGACTAGATAACTTGCTTCTAAAAGAAGTGAGAGACCTAGAACAGAAGTTCCTTGAGAGGAGGGACCATAATCACCACCTGGCCCAGGGCCTAGAGCACAGGTGCTAAATATTTGTTGCATTAATCAACCAAAGAATTTGCATTAATCAACCACAGGTGCTAAATATTTGTTGCATTAATCAACCAAAGAATTCATTTCTCTGCTCGGAGATACCGTTGATGAGGTAGGCAGCTATAGGTCTAGGCTGTCTTGGTATGATCCTGTTCATAGATAGGGGAATGTGTTGGGATCAGTGCTTCCCAAATCTGCCTGACTACCAGAGTCACCTGGGAAGCTTCTAGTCAATTCCCAGACCCCACTCCAGAATCACTGTATTAGAATCTCTGGAGGCAGAGGCTGAGAATTTGCCTTCAGACATGTTCCAAAGGTGGTTCTGAGGCAGGCGATCCTGTCTTCTGGCAGAGAAGTGCCTTGAGATAGCATGCCTTTCCTCTGATTGGCAATATTGTCCCCGTGGGAATTTGGAAGTTCTGTCTCAAGTCCCACATTCTCCACAAAGCCTTTCTTACTTCAAACCACAGCCTGTTGAAGGGAAGGGAAAATTGAAGTCCAGAAAGTCTTTGAGTTAAAGCACAGAAGCGTTTGAACAGCAGCCGACAGAGCATGTGCTCAATAAATGTTATTCAACCACCTCATTTCCCTGAGGCCTAGAGACGAAGAACAATCTGCCCAAGTTCCCACAGTAAATCAGTGGCAGAGCAGGGACCAGAATCAAGATCTCTAGACTCCAGTCTCAGGCAGTCTTCCCTTTGTTCTGTTGTCTTTTGAGGGTCGTATTTACCAAAGATACAAATGTCTGTACACCTATCAGTTTGTCAGAAATCCATTGTTTATTATCCTCAGTAGGCATCTAGTGACCCTCCAGATATGTGCCTGGCACCATGTAAACACCATGAGAGATGTCAGAGAATTTTCTGGAAGTTGCAATCTCTGTCCTCAAGGTGTGTCCCACAGAGCCAGGAGTAGGAGGCCAGTGGGCACCTAGGGTCTTGCAAGTGCTCAACTGGCACCCGAGAGTGAGACCCTCCTTCAATTTTGCACCCTAGGTGCCTGGCTTGCCTCATCCTAGTCCCAGCCCTGGTGTTCAGTTTCTTTGGGGGAAATAAGAAGGAGTCAGAAGCCTGAGGCTTATTGTGGGGCCACACACAAGTTACTTTCCTTCTCTGGGCCTCAACTGGTCCAACTGTTAATCAGGAGTCTTTGGCAGTCTCTCGGTGATGGTCTCTGCGGCTCTACAGTTCCAGAAGGGTCTAAAGAAAGCGTGTCTGCAAGAAACTCATGACCACTGGCTTCACGGACGGGGTGGGGGGACCGTTGGGGGGTCAGGGAAGCATGGCGGGGACTGCGGACCACCTGCACGCTACTTTCAAGAGGGCTGAGCCTTTGCACCAAGAACATGAAGACAAACATGGAAATAGTATGCCCCAGTCTTTTCACTGCCCACCTTTTGAGCTCAGTTAGTTGATTTGTTCCCAGAACCCTATGTTTTGAAAGATGTTATTCTCCACCAGGCTGTTTCCTCTTGGCCTCAGGTTGAAGTCCAAATTCCTTAGTGCTTTAGACAATGTCCTCAAAGTCCAACCACACTCCTCTCATTCTCTCTAGCCCAGCTGTACCAGGCCTTTTTCTCGTTCTTCCAACATACCATTCTCTCTTACCTCCAGGTTTTGTCTCGGCTGTTCCCTCCACCTGGAGCACTCCACATTCTCTCCCTAACTGGTTCACTTCCACCATGTTTCAGGTCTCCACTTCTGTTAAGGTCCCCTTGCTTCAGTATTGTTCCTAGAATATCTGATACTTTCTATATCAACCCTTTGTTGTTCTTTATCATCATTTCTTGTTTACTTTCTACACCAAGTCACAAGGTCCACAAAGGCTTCATTCCCAAAACTTTGCACAGGGCTTAATACATAGTAGATGCTCAGTAAATATTAAATAAATGTCAAAACACTATTTAGCATTTAGAATAAGCAGAGCTTCAGGTCAGCACGTGCTAACAATTTGAGCCCACGAAACTGGTCGGATTTTGGCAGCTAGGAAGATCTGAGACATGTGAGTGATGCGAAGTGAGCTTATCACAGGAGAGTAAATGATTTGCATTGGGTTTCAGGAAAGGAAGGGCAGAGACAGATGCTGCAGAGGAATCAGAAGCCAGTTATGCTTCCAGCCCAAGAATGTGCTCTACAGAGCCCCAGACAAGTGGGCACCCAGTGCCTCTTCACTTTTTTTGGAGACATACACAGGGAGCTTACTACTTACCCATTTGGTGGGTAGGCAGGGACTACAGATGACTTAAAGAAGGTTTTTTAAAAAAGTGCTGATGCTCTGTGTCTTTGAGGAAGACAGAACATGAGTTAATAAACAAGAAGGGCTGTAAAAAGCCAGAACAATGGAAGCCAGCCTTATCACTGCTGAGTAGGCACTGGACCTGACGATGGGGTCAGCCAGCCCAACTGATGGGTCAAGATGGGGGCAAGAGAGGGGAGGCCCAGCCCCCATCACCTCAGTGCCAATTTCAAACAGTAGCCCTGTTTTGCAATCAAGAAGAGATTGCAGAATCCAGGTATGGCCTGTTGCTGCTGGTCTTCTGACTAATTGGCCGACAAAATCTCAGAGTCAGCCAGGAGACAGGGAGTCCATCAAGAGGAGAGGTAGCTAGAGCCTCGACTTTTGAAACGAGGGCCTTTCAAACTCGGGGCCTTAGTTTCCTCATCTATGGAATGAGGAGTTGGACGAGTTGATCTCAAGGGCAAAAGTGTTGGACAATAAGAGTAACAGCCCGCATTCACCCAACATCCTACATGTCCCAGGTATTGTTTTAGATTTATTAACTTTTTGAAAAATCCCTACAACCTCATGAAGTAGCTAACATTATTATCCCCATTTTGCAGATAAAGAAACTAATACATAGAGAGGTTAAGTAATTTTGTTTAAGGTCATGCAGTTGGTAGATGATAGAACCAGAATTCTGACCCAGATGTTCTGTCTCCAGAGCCCTTGCCATTAATCTCTAAGCCTGTGTTGTCCAACATGGCAGCTACGAGCCAGGTGTGGCTAGTGAGCGCTTGGAATGTGGCTAGTCCAAATTGAGATGTGCTACCAGTATAAAATACACACTGGTTTCTGAAGACTTAGTATGAAAAAAAAGAATGTAAAATATCCCAATAAATGTTTATATCATTACATGTTGAAATGTTCATATTTTATATATTGGCTTAAAGAAAACATATTATTTTTTTTAAAAAGACTATTTATTTACTTTAGAGCTAGAGAGAAAGAGAGAGAGAGGGAAAGAGAGAGAGAGCCTGCAAGTGGTGGGAGGAGCAGAGGGAGAGGGACAAGCAGACTCCGCGCTGAGCGCAGAGTCCATTGTGGGGATTGATCCACGACCCTGAGATCATGACCCAAGCCAAAATCAAGAGTCAGACGCTCAACCGAATGAGCCACCCAGGCACCCTGAAAAAAAAAATATATATTTTTAAAGATTTTATTTATTTGACAGAGAGAGTAAGAGAGAGAGCACAAGCAGGGGGAGCAGCAGGGGGAGAGGGAGACACAGGCTTCCTGCTGAGCAAGGAGCCCAATGTGGGGCTCAATCCCAGGACCCTGGGATCATGACCTGAGCAGAAGGCAGACACTTAACTGACTGAGCCACCTAGGTACCCCCTGAAAATATATTCTTGAAATTAATTTCACTTGTTTCTTTTCACATTTTAAAATGTGACTGCTAGAAAACTTTAAATTACATAGGCAACTGATGTTATATTTCTATTGGACAGCACTAGTTTAAGCTATATAATCTTAAGAGATTGGTAAAGGATTATGGTTGCCTGTGAAATCTTGGCTTATCACCTGTCTGAGGTCCCCAAGACCATTTCTAGGTTCAGTGATTCACAAGGACTTATAGATCTCAGCATATAGTCATACTCATGCTGTGAATTATTACAGAGAAAGCTCACAAAGCAAAATCAGCAAAGGGAAAAGGTGCATGGGACAAGGTCTGGAGGAAACCAGGAACA